AAATTCTTGTTTTCTTTTTTTCTGCTTCTTTTTTTTATTATATGATAACTCAAAAATCAAAACAGTGGTGTCAAATAAATTCACTAGTAGTAATTTAAAAAAATCATAATTCCAATGTAAACGATGTTATCATTACCCCTTAAAGCTAGCACTCCTACAGAAATTTGGTGTTCTTATAAAAAGCTTAAGTACAGGGTGAAACAAGAATTACCAGCCAATTATAGATAAACAATAAGTATTACAGTTGGAACCTCATTGTATTTAGAACTTGGTTATAAATTCAACCTTCCTATGTCTATTGAAACACCGTATTAAAAAATAACAAGTAAAGAAAAAACTTTGAAAAAAAAAAGGAAGTAAATGTAGGGATGGCTAATATCAATCCTTCAAAAACAATGCAAACAAGATAGTAGGGATGGCACTTGCATCATCCCTACATAATAACACATAATAGTAGGGATGATGCAAATGCCATCCCTACTACTTCTTTGCATTGTTCTTGAAGGATTGATATTAGCCATCCCGACATTTCTTTCTTTTTTTTACTTGTATGTAGTATATTACTTAGTAAAATTAAAGTATTTGAACAATATCTTGTAATTTTTGCTGGTTTATCTAAAGTGACCTTCAGACATTCTTGTGTCATATTCTTACCAATATTTCATTTCTATTAAGTAAAATATTGTTTAAAAAAAGTTGTTCTTAACAAAACAAACTAAAAAAGGCTTCTGTATATAAGACTGCAATAACATATTCCTGATTTCATCAATGCAAGTAGCTCCACCCCAGTAGTTCTCTGGTCTTATGATGCTAAGAATTTGGTTTCAGTTCCCATGGTTGGCAAAGGCCATTGTGTAGCACTGTGCTTAACAACAAACAAAGAAACCATTCAAGATAAAAATCAAAACCTGAAACCAAAACAAAAAAAAAGGCAGTGTTTAAAATGCTTAATATTGCATGAAAAAACAACAACACTTCAATGCTAAAAAAACAAGGGAATATGTGGTAAGTCCATTTAAATGTTATATATGTTTTCCAAACAGTGTGTGTGTAAAAATGTTGCATGTACATATTAATGTAATGGATTAATGATAGATAACATCAACTTGAAGGTATTGTTTATTGACACCATTTTCTTTTATCTGTTCTAGCATTATTTTTTCTCAAACTTATCACAGTTTAGATAAGGGTCCAGTAAGTACTTTGTATATCATTTCTATATCTATCAGATAATTAACTTTTGTTTGAGTATATGGTATAAGTACATTTTTATCATGACTCCTAACATATAGTGTAAATAAAATTAGCTCGTAGCTGTGACAAGCAATAATTCTAATAACAATATTATTATTTTTTTAACAATGTGATAATAACTTTCAGTTATAAATAAAAACAAAATCGATATTACAGACACCCGACTTTTATGTGGAAATGAAATGGGAATTTACTAGTTGGGGTAAGTGTCTAAAAATGTAAAATAAGTGAAAATTATGTAACATTTTGATTTTTTTTGTATTTGTGTGCTCTTAAAGGAATCTTTAAAATAAAATTGTTTTATATCATTTTGCTACAAATTAAATTATAGAATTTAACATGAAGAGTATTTGAAAAAGTAAAATAGAGGATAGAAATAACCATTTTAGGTAAATATTAAGTCATAAGTTATTTTGAGCGACATTTATAACTTCAGGTTCCCAAAATTTTAGAAGTCCATCATAAATTATATTATATATAGAAATAAGAAAAAAAATGATTTTGAAAATAAGAAATTTTATGAAAATTCAGAATTTAATTAAATATGGTGTGAAAATATGAAATAAAATGTATTTGCTGTTATTAGAATTTTGCACCGTTGTTGTCATTTATTAACATCAACAGCAAGGGTGCTCAGCAGATGAAACTTGCATCGTTACATTATAATCTGTGTAACTAAGAACATAAAAAAAGTAAACTTAATTAGCAATTTTCATTACTGGGTAATTTTTAGTTCTGATCTTATAAACATTTGTATAACTTTCATTCAATATATTTTGTCATGATAAAGAGGAATACATATCAAAGTATGATTGTGGTAATTTTTAAGATGACAGGCCAAAATGTTAGATAATATAGTTACTTTCAGATGCTCAGGCTATTTTTATTACAAGATATATAGATACAAGTATATGAATTGCAATAGAAAGTATGTCGTGTGTATATTTTGTATAATTTTATCTCACTGTTTTCTGTATTGCTTGTGCATAGTTCCCTTAGTCTCCAGGATGTGCCCAAGTGATACCTACAGAGTTTATAAAAGTGGTAAGTTAAAAACATTTGTATAAGTTTCATAACTTCCATGGTTATGTATTATGTCGCATATGGACTTTGTTTACTTAAGCCTGATGTGTGTTTATTGTTTTTATTAATCTTTTAAAATAAATACCTTTTAGTTATGGGTCTGTGGTGATTACCTGAAAGTAAAGTAAGCATAAAATAATTCTTGGTGGTTTTGTTAAAATCAGTGCTGTTTGTAGGATGATGTTATGACCACAATACAGAGTATTTAAAATAAAGTGTAGAAAACAGTGGATAATTTTGGTTCATGGTAATGTATTTTGGTATTAAAGTTGTATATAGTATGATCATGTGATTGAAATACAGTGTATGTAAAGAGGTTTTAGAAAACTTGGTAGTTTTTTTTAGTTAGTTTCAGGATAATATATATTAATTACAGTACTTGTAGGAAATTATCTCCTTGTTGGTTGCTATTTATTTCCAGTGTGGAGGATGATGCGACTCACAAGTGGTAGTGATCACGTGTTATAAAGTAAATGGTAAAAACAGGGGGTATGGTTGCATGTTTAGTGGTATTACAAGAAGTAATCTTCAAGAACATGAAGTAATTGTATTTTTCTTTTACGGTTTACTCTCCCTTTTTCTTGTATGTACAAATCTTTTAGACTTACATTTTTTATTTAATGTTTTTACTCTTGTAAATGGAGATAAACATATGTACAGTACAATATTTCGCATGTACTGTAGATATATCTAATTAGTAGATTAATGAAAAATTTATAATTACTTCTATAGGGAATCATAAGCTTGTGACGTACCATTTAATAAGATTGGGTGCTACTGAATGTAATTGTGAATCAAATTTCTAAAGCTTACATGTTATAAATGAAACCTAATTGTTAATATTAAATTGCCTACTTTTAAATTCGTTGCTTGGTCTTTGTTACCATGTTACTTCTATTTAAAATTTGCAGACTAGTTTTGATAAGCCAGTTTATATGTATGTGTATAAGATGACCTTAGGTTATGTGATTATAAAAGGAACAGTTTGAATTGCACTTTTTAGGTAGAACTTCGTTTATTTCTTACTACATTTTGAAAACATTGAACCTGATAAAATAAACCATGACACTCACTCAATTATTCACATTAAAAAATATTTAAGATCTAGAAAATATATCACAGGTTTTTAATTTTTTTTTATCAGTGATTTTTTTTAGGTAGGCTTAACAACACAATAGGTGGAAAAGTTCACATACTTCAAATAGAAAGGACGAAACAGGCAGTATGAGAAACCATCTCATCCCTGACATAAGAATAGGAAACTTCCACTCATTATTTAATTATAAGAGACATTTAAAGGATTACCCAAGGAAAGTACAGTCGTGTCACAACAACCAATTCTGAATTACATGAGAAATCGAACAACACTGTAGCTCACCTTCAATTTTTGAGGACTAGTTTCTTTGGCTTCTAGCTCAGGCTTTTTTTTCTTTGCTGATTAAGCTTTCAGCAGTAATAGTAATACAATTAAATGAATTTTCACTTTAGATTTACTGATAATTGATCTATTCTTGCTATCTATACAAAAAAATGAGTTCTGAGATTTGTACAAATTCATTAAATGTTTTTTTTTGGGGGGGGGCAGAGTCTCGTCTGATGTTCGGCAAATTCCCAGCTCAACTTAACTGAGCATCAAAAAGATCATTGAAAGCAGATGATGTGGTATGCTTATTGCCATCCGTAATTCTCATCATGCTATAATAACATTGGAAATAAGAAAAAATCTTGCAAAATTACTTATGTTGATTTGTTAAGGGCTGGTTATAAGAATTTCACAGTGATACTAGGTAACAGAGGTAGAAAGAATCATCCTATTGAGATCACTGCTTGCACTATTCATAAATTTCCTCAGATTCCATATCACATCCCTGTCTTCACCTGAGTTTCTGTACTTTTTTTAATAATATAGGAAATTGGTAGCATGATTTCCAAAAACTGAAGATGACTAGCTCAAGTTTTTTTCTAGATCTGGCTAAATATTCATCTTGATTTGTAACATGATGATAAGAAGTTAAAATAGTTTTGTTTACACGTTGCAAACTTGAAGCTAGATTTTATGAACAAAAACAGAGTTATTGTACTGAAATAAATGATTAAAAAAGGAAATTGTAATAATTTTCTTCTGTCCTTGAACTTCTAAACTGAACCCTGACTCTTAGAACTTACCATTCTTAACTCAAGTACAAACTTGTTTTGTCCACAGCTAAGCTTTTTCTATTTTACTCGTATGAGTTCACAGTATTCAGTAGAACAACATTAATGGTTCAGTACAAAAGAAAAAACTTGTATCCTTTGGTGACATGTAACTTAAATTTTACTGTGAGATATTTTTTTTACTATTCAAACATATAAAGTCAAATTGAACAAAGTATAATGAATAAGACCTATAAATATGAATTACATAGAAGTTAAACATTTTAACTAGCAGTCTAAAGATGTTTTTGTTTTTGCTTCTCTAGGATCCAGTGTTAGGATAGATACCAGTTTGTTGGGATTTGATCACTCAAACTGGCAGAGAGGGAGTAGAAGTTATATATTTAAGAGCCACAGTAAGTGTATTTTAATTTTGTGGTTGTGTATTCAGTTGTAATTAAAAACTATATGCAATAATTGTAGATGGCTGGTGTGTGCTTACTTAATTTTCTTAAAACAAAAGTACATTAAATTTATTAAAAACAACTGCTTGTTTTGTTTTATGCAGAAATATAAATCTAGTTTTAATAATAGACAATCGGCCATTAGTTCTTTAAAAAACCTTTAATGTATCATACATATATCCTGTTGCTATGACAATGGAACTTTAGTTTTGGGACAACTATTAACATAATGTTTCAAAGATATGTTTAATTTTCTTGAAGTATTCTATGAATATGCATTTTTGTGTACATTTTAAATCATATTTAGTATTAATGTACAGTGCCCTTAATGACAGGGAGATAATTTTTGGAGTTTCCAGGATTTAGAGTGAATTCTTATCACTTTAATATTTGTATCCCGTATTTATATACAAAATATTTGCTAACAGTTCAAGTCTGACATGGTCTTGTGTTTAGGGCACTCAAATCACAATCTGTAGGTCATGGGATTGAATCCTGATGCTCAAGGGAGCATTTTAATGTAATGATCAATCCCACTATTTGTTTGTAAAGAGTAACCCAAGGGTTGCTATGAAGCTGTTGGCTGGATACCTTCCATGTGGCAGTTCAAAAATAGTAATGGCAGCAGATAGCCTTAATTAGCTTCAACAGTATTTAACAAGCAGACAGTATTATCTATTTATCCATTGTAAGTATTACCTTCAAAGTATAAAAATATTTTCTGCTTGAACCATCTATGAATTATAGTAGTCAGTTTTTAGTATTATATTATTTTGTGAAAGGAGAAATTTGAATTTCCTATGATCAAAATTTGTAAAATGAACAAATACAAATAAATTTCCTTTCTCTGCATCAATAAACACTTATAAACATAATTCAGCAATAGAAACTAGTGATGTTTGAAATATTTAATCCTCCAATTATTGAATAACTTTAAGTTTCTGCTAAAACACTTAATGTAAAGAATGGACTAAAAGTAACAGATGAAAAATCACTTGTTTTCTATGTGAAATACATAGAGAGCCCTGGGATTAATTAGTGGAATTGCAATATTAATGGTATGAGGGATCTTGTAAACAATGAAATCATGGATTCACAAGCAATTTGGTGCATAAATAGTTTAGAAAAAGGTGTATATAAAGAGCTGATGGGGATATGGAAACCATTGGTAATTTCAGGGTTAAGCATACTGATGTGAAAAATGTAATTAATATTAACATCTCATCAGAGCAAAACTACAAATCAACCTGTTAACCAGCATAGCTAATTAAATATACTTTTCTTACATTTCTACTTATAAAGATTAGGATGCATTATTTCATCAATAGTGTTACCCAGTAAATACTTTTCAAGCTATAACACCTGGAAATAGAATAGTCCATTATTATTTTTTTTCTTTTGTGAGGCACCCGCTGTAAATTTGGTAGCTAATGTTACCAGTATAAAGTTTAGAATTGAACATGTAGTGATATGGTAATGTTTTGTATTTGCATTTTAGTTTGAGTACTAAGATAGTGATTGTAATCTTGGAGTAATGATTCTTATTTCATATAATTTTTCTTTCATCTAGATGATGGTGCGGTAATGATGGAGGTTGACCATGATGTAGGTCAGGTGTACATAGAACAGATGAGCATTATGCCACCATGTGTAAAAGATTTTACAACTACTCTCCGACCAACTTCCGAGGCAGTATCCACTCGTCTGACGACCCCTATTGTTACAACTTTTGTAAACTTAGACAAAATATGCTTTGAAAGGTAGTTGGGTGAAATGTATTTTACTTCATAGTCACCGTTCTTCAGTTATTTTGAAAAGTTATCTCTGTGAACTATCTTAGGCTGTTCTTGTGAAATTAGTGATACATTGTTGGAGATGATTTGAAATGTGATTTCTCTTATTCTTCCTGTTTTTGTATACATAGATATAATTTGTACCACTTGGAACTTAGAAAGTCCTTTATGTTCTAGGAATTTAATTAGGTGGTACGTTTGTAATATTTGTCTAAATAAGTCACAGTATCAGAAGATAAGTTATGTATTTTTGTTAATTATTATAACACTTATTGTCCTCCGTTTTCAGGAGTAGATCGGGCATCTGGGGCTGGAGAAGTAACAAAACGGAGATGATTAATGGCTACGAGTGTAAGGTATGAGAAAGTTTATCACACTGTATTTGGAAGACTTCAATAAAGGTGTGAATCCCTGATTTAATGTATTTATCAAGCATGTTTTATAATGCATTTGAAAGTACATAACCTCTGGCACTTGAATATTTTCTAGCTATTACTTTATCAATTGTCTTGTAAGGACAGTTAAAATAATATACTTCTTATTTACCATTATTTTACATTATTTTAACTGTCCTTACAAGACAATTGATAAAGTAATGGTAAATAAGAAGTACATTATTTTAACTGTCCTTACAAGACAATTGATAACTTCTTATTTACCATTACTTTATCAATTGTTTTGTAAGGATAATTAGAATAATGTACTTCTTATTTACCATTACTTTATCAATTGTCTTGTAAGGACAGTTAAAATAATGTACTTCTTATTTACCATTATTTTATCAATTGTCTTGTAAGGACAGTTAAAATAATGTACTTCTTATTTACCATTACTTTATCAATTGTCTTGTAAAGATAGTTAAAATAATGTACTTCTTATTTACCATTATTTTATCAATTGTCTTGTAAGGACAGTTAAAATAATGTAATTCTTATTTAGCATGTAGGTGTATTTTTTAATAACTTAAAGGAATATTTTGTGTAAAATATGTTCAATTTTGTTTGAGATAGAATTCACACACTCACGTTAGAAATTATGCATTGCGTTCTTAGTTAATGATTTGAAGAGCAAAATCCTGCAGTCAGTTATGTTAGTCAAAGCATTTTCTGTTTATGCTTGGTAAGAAAAGTAGGTGATTAGTTTTACTACTGTACATATTGGAATGTACATTTGGACCCATAGTATGCAATGTATGCAACTTTTTAGCTTGTTGAAGTAAAAAATACTTCTTGCATATGTGCACGAACACACACACACACACACACACACACACTCACATGCTCATATAACTATAGTAAATGAACCAACAAGCCAGAAAAACACCTTTATTAATATTTTATACAACAAATTAACACTACATACACTGCTGCATCATTTGAGATGCTCAAACTGGGCTCCACCAGCATTCAAATAATTGACATCTACGACAGAGTGGTCAACACGCTGTTACAAAATTTTTCAACTCTGAGTAGGTGGAAAGCATTCGTAAACTGTTGCTTTAATTCATCCGTGGTTTTGGGATTTTTAGACATTCACTAATATTATCTGAAATAAAAAATATAACTTTTAGAATCGATAACAGAAGTTGCACAAATTAAAGGATTGGTACATTTTTTGGGCCACCCTGTATATATACATATACACACACCACAAATATATATGTATATGGTTTTCACATTTTAGAAGACAAAAATTGGTAATAATAGGAGCTCTAACTTGTTTCTCGTTTCTGAAAATTGTTTATTAAACTGCTATAACAGAATTGATTTGGATAAAGAAATAAAAAAACAAATTCATTATGACTTATCCCCGAATCCCCATCCCACCAAACATGCTCGCCCTTTTACCCGTGGGGGCGTTATAATGTTATAGTCAATCCCACTATTCATTGGTAAAAGAGTAGCCCAAGAGTTGGCGGTGGGTGGTGATGACTAGCTGCCTTCCCTCGAGTCTTACACTGCTAAATTAGGGACCGCTAGCGCAGATAGCCCTCGTGTAGCTTTGCACGAAATTCAAAACAAACAAACAAACAATAACAGAATTGATTTGGATAAAGAAATAAAAAACAAATTAATTATGACTTATTATGACAGATGCTAATTAAGAAAAGTAATAATCAATAGCTGATATGACGTTAGTAATAGCACTAGAAATTTTACTGAACAAACAAACTTTTTACCAAAAATTCCTTTCCAAATTTTATATGAACTGTAAAATGAAAAATATGTTCAAAAATTCACCAGGGAAGAGTTAAATAATATCACCTCGATTAAAACTATTTTTGAAAAATTAAAAACAGTTGAAGGGAAAAGTGAATATTTTTTTGGTAAAATTGTTTTCATGAACAGACGGAGTTACAGTTGTTTACGGCCCCCCGAACCCTTTGTTGTTTCAACAGTCTATTAGAGAATACTGGTATAAATTAAAATTTAACATAGCTTCTATTGTCGTTTCATGATATTCTTATACCTGAGCTGAAAATGATGGAGAAAATTTGTGTAATAGCAGAATATATGTAGTTTTAACTTAACTATGAAAATGCTTTACTAATTTTTTTTTAACCTATAGAAAGTAATAGTGTAATGTTCATCTCGCAGACGATAACGTATGCAAATGTTGCTACAGTAGGTCATGTTAAACATTTTCAAATAATTTATTTTTTCATTCCTTATTAATAACAAGAAATAACAGCCCTCCAGTGACTCAGCAGTAAGTCTCAAGGCTTCTAATGCTAAATTCCAGGTTATTCTTAAAAACAGATGAAACAAAAAAAATCAACAAACAGACAAGAATTAGATTAAATAAATATAACTTAAATGATTTTGGTAGTTTGTAATTATAATTAATGAAAATTCTAAGTCTGAAGAAGATTACAAATTATACAATAATAATATACTCAAAGAAAATTAGTTTACAAAAATGCAAAACACTGCCCTTAGTTCACTAGAAACTAACATTTAGACTTGTAATTCTAAATGATTTCTCTATGTTTGAAATAAAATTTACTTTGCTCTTTTTATCTTTTGGTTTCAGTGCACACTGAATTCAGCTGTTGTTTGAGTTTGACACTCCACAGTGGAATGTTCACAGATCTCAGTTAAACTCATTTGTTACCATAGCAACCAAGTTTTCATTTCACTGAAGCTTTAGAGTTCTAATGTGCATGCAACCAAAATAATTAGTAGGTTAGTTTTTGACAGTGAAGTGACCAAGAAAAATATTTGGCATGTTTATATGATTTTACTGATAATGGTATATGCAGAATATTATTAGTGAAATAAATTAAATGGTGGTTTTACTTATTCATATAACATTTCTTTGTTTTATTCTGTGATGTTTAGGTTTTTGGAGCCAGTAATGTAGAACTTGTAACAAGGACACGTACGGAACATTTGACCGATGTTGATAAAACTCGCCATAAATCTGCTAGATCACCATTCCAGTCTTTTCTAGGCATTGTTGAGTCCGAGAATAGAGGTATGCAAGTAGCTGTGAATGGGGTGAGTATATGTTTGATTTATGTGAAATCTTTGTTTTCCACTTTATATATAAAATATTTTGTATATTTAAATGTCTGTAGCTTGTTTACAGAGCGCAAACATGGTAAATGAACTATATTTAACTGTTAAAGAGTTAGTATCGTAGCTTAAGTTAATTCTTCACTAAAGGAGTGGGGGTTAATTTTCAATAACTTTGTAGATTAGCTATGAATAATGATTTAAAATCTGTAAGAGCAAAACGTATTTCTGCATTTAAACTGTTTTGGTTTCAGTTTCTAGTCAAGAAGAGTTTGTGTGATAAACTTGAAAGAAAGGCCACTACTGCTTAATACATTATGTAGACATTAAATATTACTTTGAAGTAGTTCCATGTTAAAATATCTCAAGTTTTACATTTGTGCTGTTATTTCTCCACTAGTAGAGGATCCCAGAGAATTAAAGTTCCAGGCCACGGAAGTATGTGAATGCGAAGCCACAGTTGAGAATAGATAAATCTCCCATAAACCAAAAAATAGTTATTGTACACCAAACAACGAATTAAAAATATCTACAGTACTATTACATGTTGAGTTTGCATGATTTATTCCAAAGAAACTGTACTCCCTCTAGTTGTAAATTGGCTTTAACAGAATAGTCATGATCGCTAAACCTTTTCTCTGCCATTTGATGGTGACCAGTGAGTGGATGTTAAAACCAAAAACAGGGTTTTGGTTCAAATTGGCTGAACTAATAAAGATCATTGATACATCAAATGATAGCTCTCTTCATGCTCTACTTTGCTCTGAATGGTTTCATTGGATCCAAAAGCATTTTCTATTTGAAAACACACAAACATTTATAATTCTTTTTTGCCATTGAATTTGTAGAAACAAAGCCATACAATAAACTTTGTGGTGTGTATTACATAATGCATTAGCCGATACCTAAATATGTCTGCCCAACTCGAATTGACAGCATGTCAAAAAATGATGAATGGGGATTGTAAACAGACTATATGTTGGCCTGGCAACAGCTTGCATTATGTCATGTGATCAGGCATAAACAGACAATATGTTGGCCTTGCAACAGTCTGCTATACATCATATCATTGGGTGTGGCTAGAGTGAAAGAACATGTGACAAAATAGCCTGATGAAAGTGGTATGAACAGTGGCAGTATTGTTTGTATATTAAAGAAGAGTGTGATTTATATATGTAAGATCAATTATTAGTAATCACAACTGAATAGTACAACTCTAACTTAGAAAGGTGAGATACAGTCACAATCTATATTAAATTGAAATGAACTAGCTCACAAAACTGATACAGGATATTACCTTGATGTACTCTATGTGTATTTGTGAATAATTATGCAAACAACTTTAGTGGAGAAAAGACAACAAAGTTTTGAAAATAGTTTCCATCTTTGCTTTAAGAAATGATACAATTATCGTCAAAATAAAAGCCTAAAACTGAAACATGTCCATTCCACAAGCTGAATGTAATACTGAAAACAGACGAAATGTGAAAAACATTAATTGTATTTAAGATTTAGTAAAAGACATCACTGAATTGGTAAGAGAAATGGTGGAAGATTTTCTATCACAATTGTATAATAAGACCTATGCCTGAAGGAATTCCTCATATTACTTTAATAGATTACTTGTTTAATGTTGTAT